CCAAAGGAGCCTGGGAAGAAAAGAGGAAGAGGCAGTGTCCATGGGGAAAACTCCCCTGAAAGATGCTGCCTGAGACAGCGCCTGTGCTTACAGGGCGGAGTAGAGATGCCTTGGTTTCTCCCTTCCTCCACTCCTCACTGTGACACCAGTGGCTCCACTGGTGGACACCAGCTACTACAGAAACCCAGGAAGTGCAACCTACAGTCAGTCAGGTCCCCCCAACCTGGCGCAAAGCAGAGAAGGGGGAAGGAGAGCAATGGATCTGAGGCCACAAAGGTCCAGGACCGACTCAAACAAAAATGAAAGACACCACCAACTCTTGGTGATAGGATTAATATACTGCCTTGCATGATGAGCATTTTCTCTGGAACTGGATAGAACCCAGTTGCTTGGTATTTACTGTTGTTTAGGTTGGTGGGACAGTGTATTTGTTTTTATTGCTGCGTGACAACTTACTACAAATTTAGCAGGTTAAAACAACATTCATTTGTTAGCTAGTAGTTGCATAGGTCAGAAGTCAGGCGCGGCGTGGCTGACTTCCCAGGCTTCTCTGCTCAGGCTGAAATCAATGTGTCAGCTAGGTTAACTTCTTCCCTGGAGGCTGGAGAAAAATCTACCTCCAAGCTCATTTCTGCCATTGGTGGAATTCAGTTCAATGATTAGCTTTGGTTGATTGTATCTGAATTCCTCCTTGCCTGGCTGGTTGTAGCTGGAGGCTGCCCGCAATTCCTAGGGCCTACCTGAATTTCTTGCTGTTTGGCTCCTTCTATGTTTAAACCAGGGCTCAAATCCTTCTTTAAACCAGCAACAGGGCCCAAATCCTTCTTATACTTCAAATCTCTGCCTTCTTCCTCTGTACACAGCCAGAGAAAACTCTGGTTTTAAGGGGTGTATGCAATCTTTTTTTCTTTTTTTTTAATCCTCACTAGAGGATATTTTTCCCATTGCTTTTCAGAGTGAGTGGAAGGGGGGGGGAAGACATTGATTGGTTGCCTCCTGCATGTGCCCCAACAGGGGCTGGGAATTGAGCCTGCAACCAAAATACGTGCCCTTGGCCGGAATCGAACCTGGGACCCCTTCACTCCATGGGCCGATGCTCTCACCACTGAGCCAAACTGGCTAGGGCCAATCTCCTTTTCTTAATGTCAACTGTACCACATAACATCGCCTAACCTAATCATGGGATGAAATCTATCATGTGTTATGCAGGGCCTATACACTTGAGGGTTGGGAGGGTGGGGAGTGGAGATTTAGGATAGGCAGGAAATCTTGAGGGCATCTTTAAATTTATAACTCTGCCTACCGCAGACATGATGGGAGTAAAGTTTCGCCTTGTACTTCCCCCCACCCCCCCCCAATCTAACCAAGACGTTATGGGGGAAGTATACTAACTAGATGCAAAGTATTGCTAATTGGTCTTATGACTGGACAGTGATTTGTAACTGTCCTGAGAATTTTTGTAGTAAAATCTATTTAGTGAAACTTTTTAGAATTAGAAATGATGTAAATAATGTAAGATTTTACCAAAAAGCAGAGATTATCTAAAGAGAACTTCAGTTTAGTGAACCTTTTCTAATGAAACATGATAATTCCAATTAGCATAAATTGCAAGTTTCATGTCTAGGAAACTAGGAAGAGTTTATTGCTTCTAAGAACTGTAATTGATGGGGTAACTAAGCTTACACTTAGAAACTGACTTGCTTGGTTACTTTATCTTGGCTCCTTTCCCTAATGTTTTCTTTATAATTCTACAAGAAACACTATGTCATGAATTTATCATACAAATCATCTGAACTGTTTCTTTTGATTGTCAAAATAGTATTTCATTTAAGAAGGCAAATATTACCCTGAACAAATTCACAAACAGCAGCAAGGTACAAGCAGGTAAATCCAGTGCTATAGTGTCTGGCAAAATACTATATAATAAGTAGGCTGATAGCATCAATGTGTTGCATAAGACCCTGTCATAGCAGACTCTCCCCCCACCCACACATACACTTGGTTTAATATTCTGCTGTCGCTTAATTGAATATTTAACCATTTTTCAACAAAGGGATCCATATTTCCATTAGCACTGGAATCCATAAATTATCCAGTTTTCAATATAAACAATAAACATAATAATATATATTTTGATAGTATGAAAAAATTCAAGCTGTCAATTATTTTAGTAAACTTTAAGGAGTGAATTTGGCCCCCCAGTTCTGAGGAAAGTAGCTTAAACTACAGAATTAGATTGATATGACACTGATTGTGACCACCGGGATTTTTTTGTTTGTTTGTTTGTTTGTTTTTGCCTATATTGCATGCTCATTATTTCAAGTAGAAAATTCAATTGAAGTATAACATTACATCTTCAACTATTACTTTCAATAGAATGAAAAAATGTAACCCACAGGGTTGTAAACTCTTTTCAATAATAGCCACTGTTTTGCACAGAATGTAACACATTGTTGGTGATCATTAATTTTAATTGATAGTGATGTTTGTTAAACAGGCTGTTAAAATAGAAGGGTGTTTTAATTATAGCATCTAAAATGATCAACTATAGGGTAGAACTGTTTGTAGCAAATATTGAAGATGTAACAAGAGACAAAAATATAGCATATTGATAGAGTGTAGGTTGTGAAGCCTCATTGCCTACATATGAATCCTGGCTCTGCCATTTTCCAGCTCTGTGACTCCAGATTAGAGAAAAGGCTATGGGATAACACTGGTTTCATTTAAATCATACTTCTTACTTAAGTGAAATAAATTAAGGGTAATTCTCTCTTGAGAGAGACTCATATATTCAATTCCCTATTCTACACCCATATCTGGATGTAAGATTCTCAAATTTAAAGAGTTTTAACAGAAATTTTGATCTACCTCCAGTTCCTAACTGATCTTCACCACTGATCTTCAAATTATTAGGTGGCAACACCACTCACCTCATTGATAGCACTTAACAACAGTCACTGACACTTGGCAATTGATTAATAAACATTTGTTGAGTGAATACAGAGAGGGCTACACAATGTCCTTGGAAAAGTAGAGGACCATATTCTCATACAGCTCTGATTTGAAAGATGTTATTTGCATTATTTTTCTCAAATACAGATTTAGAAAGAAAAAAATATTTTTTAAAAGTTATGAAGTTTTATGTAAATGACTCTAATCATCTTGGCACATATTAAGTTTTAATAAATATCAGTGAAGTATCACCTGGAAGAATGAATGTATTAACACATCCAATGATATAGTAGTCGACACTATTAGAGAACATATCAGGATCATAGAGACAAATGTTGGCAGTGTCAATGTAAAGTTGTGTAAGGATAGATAGGTTTAATCAGTGTATATTAAGTGTCCTACATCATTCTTACGGCAATACCTTAGCCCTATGTCATTAAGCATTCAAATCACCTAGTTTTACATGTTCTGATCTAATGCATGTCAAGATAACCTGTGATTTTTGTGTAGCTATGAAGACACACAGAAAACTTGTTGATCATGAGGCCTTTGAGGATCCCTTAACCCTGTGGTAGAGATTTTTCAAGGTAGTTAATAATAGCTTCTGATTGTGATTCAGTAGGAAAATGCTGACCAGGACGTGCAAATATTTATGAGCTGTGTAACAGCTACTTTTTCACTGTAAGCTAGTATATTGACATTCTGGTCTCTATCCTAGTTTCCTGAGCATTTTTATTAATCTATCATCTTTCCAAGGCTTGCTACTTACCCTGGAATGGAGAATAAATCTCTTGGTCTTTAAAGTTTGGAATCATAATACATCATTTTCTTGCTGTTTCTTCTATCACTTCTACCTTCACTTTTTACTATTTTCTGTATGTTAAATTTTTAAACCAGTTATATAACATCAAGAATTCTATGGCCTTCATAAGTACTTTCAGGTGTGATTTAAAAGTGAATACAGTATATTTAACAGTGAAACAAAAAAAGAAAAAGGGTATCTAAAGCAAAATTTAGATTTTGTTCAAATTAGATACAATCTTGGACAAATACTAGAACAGTGAAGCCAGATAACTATTGAATATGTCTTTAGAGTTAGGAAATAGAAACGTATTTGTATTTTAAAATAATATTTGAATTGTATTTTCTTAATGTTTAAAATTCTTCAAATAGTATAACTAATTTTTAACCATTTAAAGGAGACTCCCCTGATCCATTTGCACTTGTTTATGCATGCATCACAGTTCTCTTTCCTATGAGCTAAAAAAAAATTCTTTTATAACTATATGGCAGAAATAAGCTCTTCACATCAAACTAAAACATGTAAGGATCATTGCTTGTAAGCCCATATGAATTTAAATGATTCAAACATCACAAGAAAAGGTTTGTAAATTATCTATTGTAGATACTGAATTTTGTATTATATTTCAGATAAATATGACATTTAGAGCAGAAAAGTTTATATTTCTTTTAATCCTCACCTGAGGATATGTTTTTATTGATATTAGAGAGAAAAAGAGAGGGAGGGAGAGAGAAATATCAATGTGAGAAATATCAATTCGTTGTCTCCCTCATGAGCCCCATCTGGGATGGAGTCTGCAACCCAGGTATGTGCCCTGACCAGGAATCTAACCCATGACCTTTTGGTGTTCAGAACAACACTCCAACCAACTGAGCCACCCAGCCAGGGCTGAATGGTTTATAATTTCTAATGGAGCCATTAGATCCATATTGACTCCCGTACAGTACAAATTTTTCATTGGAAAAAAAAAATCCTCAAGGCAAATGTAGTCTTTTGACTTAGAGGAATTAAAAATAAATTTAGCCATTCAATTGAGCATATCCAAAATATGAAAATTGAATTAATTTTCAAATATAGGTAAAATTTACTGTAGAGGTTTTATTTTTCAAACAAAATAAAGTGATGACTTGATCTATTTAATATGATGACTATTAAAATGCAAGTGAGCTCAAAACTAACTTTAAAATTTCTCTCTCATAAATTGAAAAAAAACTCTGAGCTTAATTAATGTAATTATTGTTTGCAGACCTGCTCCATTGAGCTTCTTTGTGGTGATGATATAAGGAGAATTAGCTGTTTATCCCCCATCTCTCAAAAAACAGATGCCATTTCTACACAAACATATACAGTGCCCTCTTCTGAGAATTTAGTCAGTAGCTTTCTATCTTCAAGGGCTACAAGGCTATGGACTATAATGAATACTTATTCATTTGATCAAGGTAAGTAGATGAGAGTAAGATATGAAGACATTTGTATTTGAGAAAGTTGCATATTGAAACTTATTTTCTGATATTGCAATTTTTCCAAGATACATATATCAAAAGCATAAAGTTGTCTTAACAATTCTTGTTGGTTATGTATCATGTTTGAAGTTTTGTTTTAAGAATATTGATGTACTTTGCTAATAAATACTCTTTCTAAAAGAATGCAAAAATGTTCATTAATAGTCTTTATTCTGAAATGTAAATATGGGTATTGAACTAGACCTCCAATCTCAGCTCATTTTGTTTTAACTATCAATAAAAATTATTTATAAGGGTTTTGTACTATTTCCCTCATTGTCTTTATTTAATGTCCTTTAAATATTATATGTAAATTTATATTCTTATCAATTTATTGAAAAAATACTCTGAGTTTTAAAAATCTGTTTTTTTAATTCTTGTTAAGTATTTTGATAACTTGAATATGTTTTAATATATCATAGTATTTAATTTGCTAAGTCATATGATGCCATATTTTAAACACATATCGTATGTTAAATTCCACATTCATTCTTCATATAGTCAGTCACTCAGAACAATCAGAATGAGAATTATAGCCCTTAGCAAGATATTCATTGTTTAAAGAAAATATTTTTGAAGGCTGATATTATAAGCAGAAAGGCAGACTCCCCTATTTTTGTCTATATAAATTTCTGTTCTTTTAAAGAATTAAATTGAAATATATGATCTAATACACAGAATATTTTACCTATTTAGAAAGTAAAATTACTTTTTCTAACATTACTAACCCAGTAGGTCAAATAGTAATAGTCACTGATCAATCAATGACAAAGAGTTGTAAATTTTTCATGTTTTATAATTCAAAGGAGTTATTTAGTTTGTAATGTGTCCATTCTGCCTAACACCATTTGTTCTGACTTTGGCCCTCCCGTGGAGTGTGGATAATAGGAATCTTTGCCTTATGCAGTTTGTGTAGTCACTAAACTTTCTCATACACTTTTATATGCAGTATGATTTACAGAGCCATATTTGTCTGCATATAATGGCTGTGAGGTGGCAATGCAATTTGCAGAAGAGTCAGCCCAGGGCCAAAGTTGTTCATTTTCAATTCATTTTTATTCTTTCTTTCTTTTTAATTTGGCTTTTTCTTCTCTTAAGGTTTAAAAGAGACAGACATTTTCAAGCATGATGTTCTCTCAACCACTGGTTTGTCAGCATTAAGTATTGGCATATCTTTCGAAAGCTATTTACTGGAAGAACTGATTTCTACTAGACAGCTTTCAGCAAAACACACTCTTACTTCTTCCATAGCTGTTTCCTCTTCTCAGTTTCTGAACTTTGATGTTTATAACCCAACACAAATTGTCCGGAGCAGTACATCTGTATCACATATGCCTGCCCAAACTTCAGCTGGCACACCAGGATTCTCCTTCAATAGGGGAGAGAGGACCTCACTTACCATCTCTTCCTTAATGGCAGATTTTATTTTTCCTACACAATCTTTATTATTTGACAATGATCCGACTGTTGCCTTATCTGCTACCGAAATGAGTTCAGTAATTAGTGGCATTCCAAGGGCTGATGTTGAGTTTAAAAGGCACTCACTACTCTCCCCTGGATTCCTGCTCACAGCTGCTTCCACAAGCACCCCGCCAATTGTTTCTAGAGGGTCTCAAGAGGATACTGAGAAATATTCAGCTGTCTCCGTAATTTCAAGAAGATAGTACTGGAGATTGCTGAGCTCCTCAACATCTTCCATTTCTCCTGCTAGGATAATTATATCTAAACAGGTAGCCGTCTTAAACTCACCCACTCTGCCCAGATTCACTACACAAGCCTCCATTCCCACTGACTACCAGATTATTACCGAAGCTTCTAGCAACCGGAGACTCACAAATACCAAATCACAGACTGCTGATTCCTTAAGTGAATCAAGCCAAACACGTGCAACATGTTCTATGACTGAAATAAAATCGTCTCATAAATTCTTAAATCAAGTTTCGCATAGCAAACAGTTCCATTTTTATGAGACATTCGGGATGAGCTCAGCGATATTAGCCAGCTGGTATGCACTAATGGGAACACAAAGTATCACTTCTGGGCATTGGTTTTCTTCTGCTACTGAAATAACGTCATCAGTGGCATTCACAGAACTGTCATCTTTATTTCCTTCTAAAAAGAGTACAACAGGAATAATAATAATTTCATTCTCACCCTTGGAGGAATCCATTGCCCTATCAAGTAATTTGGATGTTAATTTATGTTTGGATAAGACTTGTTTACCCATTGCCCCTTCACTAAGTGTCTCTTTAAACCTGATGAATTCTGATTTGGCTTCAACACTGGCTACCGGTGATCCATGTGTATCAGGAAACATTTTTAAAATATTGAAAATAGGACAATATGGTATAACTCTGTGTCCCACCAAAGTACTGAATCAAGACAATTTATTGGGCATGCAAGAGAGTAAAGGATCTCAAAAACAGTTCAAGTTTCACCAAAGTGGTAGTTCTCTGGATTTTGGATTTAACTTATGAGGTCATCCAGAAACTGTATGTTCAAAGGACCTCAAATACAACCCTCCACTGTATATAGACTCAATGTCTGATATCTCAGAAACAACCGCTAATGTTGCATTATATACCATTTCACCAACTCAGTCACTTCCGATACAGACCTCTTTCCCCATGGCTGTATTTATGCCTGCTCGGACATATTATTCAGATTATCTGACTTTAACATCTGATTTAAAAGAAGAGTTCAGAACATCTTCAGAATGGTCCAGATGGGAACTTCAGCCTAGTGTGCATGCCTGGGAGTCTGCTGCTGCAGGCCAGAGGCTCCCCATCATTGCATCTCTTCCTTTGTCTTCACTGGAGTCCATTCCAGCACCTCGTCAGCTGATGATTTCTGGTGAGTTTCTCAGTTTCAGTTCAATAAACTTTTAGAAATGAGTTTCTTTTCTACAGGGAAGAAAGAGCCAGTTGTAGTCACCAGGTGCCCTAAACAGCTTCTTTGTAATCAGGGCAGCAGCCAGTCAATGAAGACGGCACCTGCTGTTGTACCTGACACAGATGGTTATTCTTTATGCACTGCCACAAAGGCTACCAGATCAATAGGGGAGTTTGTGGGAGACGGCGCTACTGCTGGCAAGCAATCAGAAACTGAACTAGTTCAATTCATTACAAAGGGTCTTTCAAAGTTTAGGAATAACTTTTATTACTCTCATTTCTTGAAATAGCTTCTTTGTCAGGTTGAACACAATAAAACACACTTTCTAGCATTTTCTTCAGTACTGGTATTTTCTCTTTTTTTAACTGGAAAGATGAAGAAGTTAAGGGATCTTTGTTGGGTTTTTCCATCCTACATGGTGTGGTTTATCATTTCCTAATGCAAAGCTGTGATGCCTTCATGAATATAACTCAGAATATAAATTAAATTCATGTCTTTTTTCAACAAAATGCTACATAAATATTGAAACATGATAATATTCTGTGTGTGAACTTGAAATAATTAATAAAAAGCCACTTCTCTTAGATAACTGTCCTTATTTTAAAGCACTTTAGAAATCACTAATCTTCTCTACCTTTGTAATTACTATCAAATTGGGAGGCATGCAAAAAAATTGATGAATTGTATTTAGCAGAAAGAGATTTTTTTCATCATTTAAAGAAGTTCTATCTTGCAGAATTTCAAGTGTAATTGTGGCAGTGAAGTTAATTTTTATTCAATGAGAAATTGGTTTTATATGTGTGCATGTGTGGTTGTATGTCTATGCTTCAGAGGAAACACATATTTTAGAAATTTTTAAGTATGGAATTTATGCCAGCCAACTCAGTAATATTAAGGACCAAATAATTATATTTGGTGTGTTCAGTATAATAATGAATTTGTTTTTCTTTCTTTCTTGTTTTTCTTTTTCTTTTCTTTTTTTTTGGGGGGGGGGAGGTCATCACTTTTATACAATCTTTATTTTATTTTTTAACTTTATTTTTATTGTTTACACTATTACAGATGCCCCCCCTTTGTCGACCTCCACTGAGCCCTCCCCTCCTCTCCATCCCTCTAGCTAATACCACACTGTTGTCTGTGTCTATGGGTTATGCATAGAGGTTCTTTGGCTAATTTCTTTACCTTCTTTCATCCAGTCCTCCCTCCCCCCTCTTTACAAAGTTTCTAAAAATTACATGATAAGTGAAATTACAAATTTAAATGAAGTGTTCTCCTTGTACTTTTAAAAGATGAAAGCTTTTTATGTAACTAGTATGATTCATCAGCAATGCCTTATATGTCACTTGTCACGTATACGTTTCTTAGTAGATGCAGCTGAGTATACCTCTACTCTAATACAATTAGCCCCTTGGAAATAGTCAGGATACAAATTATACATTTCCAGGAAATCAAATCCTAGGTTTGCTTTCTATGAACAAAACTGTCACATTCTGTTTTTCCCATCCCCTCAACTCCAACTGCAAACACTCTTTGATGATTTTTACCTCCTTCAATTCTCCCAGTCTCCTCCCAGTTTTACTTGCTTCCCTAATCATTTTAGATATGATAATCAATAACTTAAAAGGCACGGGTTAGCATTTTTCAACACGTTCACCTTCTGTGTTGGCCAGGGAATAGACAGTATGCTCCAAGTGAATATTTGTGAAGAATTTATTTACAGAAGTTATTTACAAAGATATGAATAAAATTTAAGGAAAACTCTATGGTTCTGAAGGGACTAGTAATAGCAGAATGTCATTACTACAGGAAAGAGCAGTTATCAAAATCCAGAACCTAAGGAGAAAAACTGCCAGTTTACAGAAGTCACGGCCTTTAGGAAGAGGGGACAGGCAGTCCAAAGCAAACCAACCAGGAGACCAGGAGATATACATCCAACCTTACCTCCTCTAGTGTCCTACTGGTGTTTCTCGTTGACCAAACTCATTCAGTAGCTGGACATGATCTTTAAAAACAGATCTGGTTCAATCTTCTCATGTAAAGGAAAGGTGGAGTAGGCTACAGTAGAATGTTCTATAGCGCTAAAATCTTGATTAGGTTGCATGACACTGTCAAAATATAGAACAAGTGTATAACTGATGAAGGAAGAATCTCCTTGTATGTTTCTAAAGTGGACCATTGGGCACTATTATTTCCTCCCTACATGCTACTTCTATACTAAAAAAGTATAAAAGGTAGAAAGCCCGTAATTCTGGGCTCCCTTGCTCTGGTGGATCCCTCAGATTGCATTGGGTCACTGACAAAAAAAATGACACTCCAACCAACCTCTTGTGATAAGCAAAGTGAGGCATCATGGAGTTACCTCTAACAATCTGTTTCTTAAAATTTTGTGTAATTGTGAACTGTGGAATTCCTGGTTCTGCAGGGTAGTGACAGCACTATTTGATTGGATAAAAATGATCTTTCTCAGACATCCTCTAAACTAAACCAGCCTTTGTGGGTCAATTTAACTCATGAAGCAAATGAAGTTTAAGAGAGAGAGAGAGAAAAACAACAACACAGTATTGTTTTCTTTTTTAAAAAATATATTTTTATTGATTTCAGAGAGGAAGGGGGAGAGAGAGAGAGAGAGAGAGAGAGAGAGAGAGAGAAACATCAATGATGAGAGAGTTGTCATTGATCAGCTGCCCCCTGCATGCCCCTGCCTAGAGACTGAGCCCGCAACTCGGGCATGTGCCTTGACCAGGAATCAAACAGTGATCTCCTGGATCCTAGGTGGATGCTCAACCACTAAGCCATGTCCAGATGGGTGTATTGTTTTCTTATAGTGATATGACTCACTTTTTCTACTAATTGTTTGAGAAGGATGTAACATAGAGCAACCAGAGCTTCCTGCCTCAAATATCCTCTAATAGCAATGGATAATAAAAATTGTACAAAATAATTTTTTAGTTTTATTTATTTCATTCATAGTCATAAAATTCTAAATTAAAACATATCCAATAAAATATTAGTAAAATTCTAATAAATAACAGAGGGTAATTTTATTCAGGAATGAAAAGAAGAGTCAAATTAAGACATTTAATGATATAATTTGCTACATCTTCAAGTAAAAAGATGTTGACAATTTATAGTTTATTAAGAGTATTTTTCTTTTATTTTTATCATAAGGATTTATATTATCTTCAAAATTTTTAGTATTTATTATTTTTTCCAAACATAAAAATATATAAATAGCTCACAACAATATTCAATGCCATTCTTAAAGTTGAAACAGAAGAAGTAGTTTTATTAAACTCATAAAGTCAAAATGCCTTATATACACATGTGCACATATTTCTTACATAGCATTTAGAACATCTAATGAGAAAATGCATTTACCAATTAACAAAAAATACAAACTACTGCTTCTTAAAACTACAGAGCAAAGGTTAAAAGATAAAATTTATCAAATAACCATAAGATTAGATAAATGGAGATATGATATCCTTATTTGAAGTATCAGACTTTTAAGCCCTTAAGATTCCATAGACACTACATTTGAAAAGTATAAAGCAATTTGAAACAAGTTAAAATGGAGTCATATTTAGAACTTGATCAAGTAATTTTAAAGGGCAAGAGAATAACCAAGGAAGTGGTGAATAGGTATGGCAATAAGGGAGCTTGAATGTTGATGTAATATATTAAAATAAATTATAATAAAGTAGTATGTTATTATTACAGGGATACATATAAAAGGAAATAGAATAGAAAATTCAGATACATATGATAGATATAAAAAATATAAAAAGGGGATTTGAATTGATAAAGGAAGATTTTATATTTACTAAATTGTGTTGGCCCATTGTCATTTTGAGAATTATTCCCCTCTGCCTTACACCAAAATAAATTCTATGAGGACTAACTAGATAAAATTTCAAAAATAGAATTAAATAATCAAAATAAAATATCAGTTAATATTTATTTGATCTCTAAATGCTTGTGTTTAAGCTTGAAGCTCATAGTCTTTGGTCTGTGGGTAGGGCCTATGTTCTAATTCTGCTAACATGGAAAATGATTTGCCTATCCACCAACATAGTTTTTCTCAGTTCTTTTTACTATTGTCAGTCACTTGTACGTTGTAAGTTGAAAAAAAGATATTTCTATTCCTTCTCAAGTCTATTTATACTTGTAGCATGTAGTTCAATATGACAAGTTGTCACTTTTATGAACATCCATCAGCAATATTTTGAGATGCTATTTAATGTCAATAATTAAGATATTACTCAAACTGTCTGACAGTGTTATCATCTAAGATTAGCATAACATATGTTCTTTCTTAATAACCATGTTTCAGTTAACAACACATTTTATTGGGGATACACCATGTCCTGGTCTCTGTTTATGGTGTGAGTGATACACTACTAAACAGAACAGATGCTTCTTGCCCTCTTTGAGCTTAATTTCTGGTGGAGAGACACAGAGAGCAAACACTAAGCATAATAAATCTGTGTTTCTTATATAACCTGTTTTATATAATAAAGTGTACATACTACAGTTTTAATATACATACAGAGTGTATATGTATGTATATATAATATAAATTTTTATTTTATATTCTGAGTATATTTATCTTCCATATTATATATGTAATATATGTTTATATGTAATATACATATTACATATGTATATAATATATGTGTGTATATATTATATATTATATATTGTGACAGCCTGTATGGATAAAAGAAAAAATAGAGCAGAATAGGAAGGAGCTGGGTGTCACAAGTTCTGGGTAGATGGATGAGAAACAACCAGATGATCAGGTTTGATCTCTGAGGAAGCCGTCTTGAAGGAGGTGAGGGCTGTGTAAATATAGAAAGAAAAACATCCCGTAAAGAGTAAATGGTCAATGCTCTGCTAAGGTAGGTGTGTGTTTGACATTTTCTGAATATGTCAGGGAAGCCATTGTGGTTGAGCAGGTA